TACATAGTATTCAGAATACCGGCCTTGGGGCCGGAAGCTCTGGCTAATATTGCTGCTGTGCAACTAAAGAAATCACTTAACCTCTCTGAGCTTCCTTTGTGTAGGTGGGGATAATCCTCCCCACCTGAAAGTGCGGTGGCGAGGACAGAATGAGTTGATACTCTTAGGACACTGCTATGTATCTGTACTTACCTACCTACCTGTCTACACATTTCTGTAAAATAAGGATAACAATAGTTGCTACCTTATAGAGTTGTGAGAATTAAAGGAAAAAGTGAATGATACAGGCTTTGCAAGTCCCCATAGAGATAGGAGTGAATATTATGATCAAACACTTCATCTCTATTGGAGGCAATACTGCCCGGGGGTGTCTAACACATTGCTGTCCAATAGGAATAGAATGTAAGGCACAAATGTAATTAAAAAAAAAACAAAAAACTTCTAGTATTTATGTTAAAACAAAGTAAAAAGAAACAGGTGAAATAATTTTAATAAAAAATTTCCACCCCCCAGTGTGTGCGCGCGCGGGGGGGGGGTGGGGGGTGGTGTCTCTGGTTTCCAAGGGAGGGAGTGGGAAAAGGGCTCTGCAGAGGAGGGGGGATCTCTGGCCCCCTACTGAGACTCACTGAGTCCTTTGGGTGCTCAAGGCTACCAGGATCCAGAAGCCCAAGAGTACCTTTTTGGAAGCACTGGGTTGGAATCTGATGGGCATTGTGTGGGGCAGGGGGCAGTGGAAATGACAGGTGCCTTTGGGAAAAAGGAAGAGGAGGGAGAAAACGTTCCTTCCTTTTCTCGGAAGCCCTGGGCCTTGGGAATCCTGGAGTGAGGGCAACAGAATTCCCTTCCACCAGGCCTGGAAGAAGGGGGCAGAGGCCTCAGGGCTCCTTGGAGGAGACTAGTGTTCGGCCTCCTGGGTGATGCCCATCCTGAGGCGTTTGGGAACATGGGCCTCTTTGGAGACCCCGGATAGTACAATTGGTGCTTAGGTCAGGGGCTTCCGGGCTCTTGGGTTCGAAGCGTGCCTTATTTCCCCACTCAACACATAAGCGCGCGCGCGCACACACACACACACCTCCTGCACACCTCCCACCTCACCCTTGCACGCACAGAGACGCCCACTCACGCACCAAAACCCTGCCGCTCTCAGGGAACGACGGGTGTACAATGCATCTTGGGGCTGAACCGGGCTGCCGGCGGCCGGCCGGGAACGCCGCGCTGGGCTGGATGCGCAGCGCGGAACGCGCCGCGGGGCCACTCTCCGGTTAGCGGGATGGTTGAACAGGAAGGGTGGGAACAGCGCAGCGAACCTCGAACCCGGCGGCTGGCGGTGGACCCCGTGCTCCCTTGAAGAATAACTTCTTCGCACACCCCCACCCCGAGCACCCCAAGGTCGCGCAGTGGCACGGGCCGCGCAGAGCCTCCTCGCTCATTAACTGCAGCTGAAGAATTCCCAGGTGGTGCGCCCAGGACGCATCCCCTCTGGCCCAACTTGGGGTGGGTAGCGGGAGGAGGTCGCGTCAGGGCGAAAACTTCAGGTTGGAGTTTTGGGGGCAAAAGACAGCAAACTGTTCGGTAGAGGGCTCTGGGCGCCGCCGATAGTCCTCGGCTCCAATTCAAAAGAGGCTTGGGGCTCCGCGCGCTACTCCTGTGTCTTTGGCCTCCTTCCCTTTGCCGCTCCTCCTCCACTCTCCACTTCTCCCACCATCCCTTTTCTTTTCTTTCCATCCCCCCCGCCCCCGCGCCCCGCCTCTCTCCCAGCTAGTCTTTTAGGCAAGGAGTGCAGCCTCCAGGAACTGCCCGTAGACCGATTGACCGGAAGCCCCGCACGCCCCAGGCTCAGGGAGGCGGCGGCGGGCAGCGGCTGTCGGGAGCGGGAGGCCGTAGGGTTTGGAGCGCCGAGATTCCGCGGCGGAGCGTAGCAGGTGCCGGCCTGGGGTATCACTGAGAAGTGGGGTCGGCTGTCCTGCAGCGGCCTTCACTCCGGAGCAATCTTCGTGCCTCATTTACTCCCTCAGTTCCAACATTTTTTGGAGATGGTTGGGGGTGGGGTGAGAGAGGAAGGACCGGTTTGGCTGGGACAGCAGCACAAAACCGCGTTTGGCGGGACGGTGGACCTAGGGCTGGACGGAGATATCGCAGTCCGAGCCCAGGGAAGGGGACTGACCGCAACGGAGACGGAGACACAGGACAAAGAGGACAGCATCTGCCCAGACAAAGCCCGAGTTCTAGAGACCCTGAGACGGCGGCGGGACGCCCCAGGAGACGGGGAAGCTTGGAACCGCGGAGCCCGGGCCGAAGGAACCCTTAGGGCCTAGTTGGCCACACTGCTGAGATTCCGGTTTCTGTCCTGGACAGCCAAGGTCAGGCAGACCGGGGGTGACCCTGGCCCGGCCGCCGCGGTACGAACGCAGAAGTCCACAGAGTCAGGCGTTTCCTCTGCGCCACCGGGTTTCTTTAGTGCCCAGAAGGAGGTCGCCGACGGCTGGGGGTCAGTCGGCACCGAGAGAGCCTAGTGCGTTTGTCACGCCCTGTCCGCCTCAAGCCGGAGCCCTAGTCTGTGCAGACCCCAGACGGCTTGGAAACGTTCCCCCGCTGAGCCGCGGTGCGAGTGTCCTCTCACCGCGTCCAAACACTACCGGGCCAGGGAGGGTGCGCGTCCCTGGAGCCCAGCTTCGGGCAGGGGCGCAGCAGCCGCAGGGCCCAAACTCTCCCCGGAGATCGCCGAATCGTTTCTGCGGAGAGCACGCTTCTCGCAAAGGGTTGAAGACGGGCTCTTCCAGAATAACAGTTGCTGATCCAAACCTTTCAGTCCAAGTTTTGGTTCAAATATATTCATTTTACTAAAAATTGGGCGGCTCAAGACCACACCCCACCCCAGCCTGACCGAGGGCGCAAAAGAGAGTTTTCAGATTAGCTGGAGGCAAACTATTTTACCTTCTAACACTGAAAAAAAAAAACCTGGCTGTCTCCGCACTGGTGTGGCTCACCTGGCCCCTACACGCGCCGTCAGTCGTGCTGGCTCTGCACAGTCAGCGGCTGGGACACACTCACCCATTGCACGCTTCTCCTGCCTTTCGCTGCGCGCGCCCAAAGCTGAAGAGCAGAAGGCGACGCGGGAGGCGGGTCGGGTCTCCGGGTACAGCGAATCTGCGATTTATCCGGTTTCTGCGCCCCGGCCGGAGTCTCGGGGAAGAGACTCTTATTTCGGGCCAGACTGAGTCCGAGTTGGGAGGGTGCACGGCGCCCGAGCCCTGCCTGGATCCCCAGTGCGGTGCGCTGTGGGCTCCCCGTCTGCGCTCTGAGGTTTCTCATGGACAGCCCTGGGCCCCCTCGCTGTGGCGTTTCGGCTTTCAGCCACAGACTTAACTCGGCCCAGGACCGTCCCGCGCAGGGGACTGCCGAGGGGGATCCCAGCACCCCCAGCCCCTCTCCCCCGCGCCCTGAGCTGGGGCTTGGAGTTTCAAGCGCCGTGATCCGCGCCGAACTCGCGGCTGAGTCCCAGGACGGGACCCGGGGACCGTGAGTGGCTCTAGGGGAACCTGTCCTGGGCCCCGGTGCACACACAGCCTCCGTTCTGGGCTGGCCCGGGTTGGACAGGTTAGGAAGACCCAGCTGGGTCCGAAGCGTCGTCCAAGCCTTCCAGTCGCGGGCCGGGCTGTTCCGCGCGCCTTTGCGCACAGTGGCCACTTGGGGTCGCACTTTATGCCTGTTTGAGCCTCTCGCGGCCCGCTGACGCCGAGATCTGCTAAATCGTTACAAAACGTTCAAACAAAAACAGGGTCGGTTCCCCAGCAGCCGAGAGCCACCCGGAGCACCGTCCTGAGCTGGCCTCAGCCCCCAGCCTCCGGAGCTCAGGGCTCCGTGCGTCGGGCTGGGGAAAGGAAACCAGAGCCTTACGGCCGATTCTTTCCCGCTTCCTTCATCCTGTGCTTTTGTGCGTGGGGCGAGCGCGGGGAGCGGCCGGGCAAGGGAGTCCCATCTCGGGTCTCGGCCCCTGCAGCCTCCAGGAGGGGAACTGCCCCTGCTTAGCCCGAGGGTCCCCTGAGGCTAAGAGTTGGATTTGAACACAACTCTTGGAGCCGCAAACCCACCCCCAGCACACAAATTACGCGCAGACCTGCGGAAACACAGGCAGGCACCACCGCACACACTCGTACGGCCCCGCAGCCGCGCGGCGCACGGAACGTCCCCCACTGGGCGGGGGACGCTGGGGAACAAAGGGCCCGAGAGGTGTCGTCCCGGCGTTCCTTTTGAGCCTCCTTGGGGGTGACAGGGGCTGGGGGTGGGGAGCGAGGGGTAAAGAGCGAGGGGAGCACGCGAAAGGGGTGGAAGCGGCGGCCAGGCCCACGGAGGGGGGGGCGCCCCAAAGGCAAGCGGGCGGGGACCGGGACCTGGAGGGTGTTGGGGGCTGGGCCGGGGCCCGCCGTCCCACTGGGCTCCAGCCCTCGGCCAGGCCTCCGCGGCTCTCCGGCTGCTGGGGCCGCCAGTCAGCTGACGCGGGGGGCGGAGGAGCTGTCAGGCGCGCCCCGCCCTGCGCCGCCGGGCCGCGGGGGCCGTGCAGCCATTGGCCAGAGCTCTGGGCCGCCCTGGCCCCCGCGCCCCGGTGACATCAGGAAGGCGATAAAAGGCGGCGGCGGCGCCGGATCCAGCACAGCTGCGCCGCCGGGCTGCGAGCGGCTGCGACCGAGAGAGCCCAAGAGCAGGAGAGCTAGAGAGCGAGCGGCGGGCGCTTGCCCGGCGCCTCCCCTCCGCCCAGCCGCGCGCCCCGCTTGCTTCTCCGCCCCTCCCGACTCGGCCCGGCCCCGGCGCGGCCACAGCCCCGAGCTCTGGGGCGGCGCAGGCAGCCTCGGGACTCTCCGGCGCGCCGCCGCGTCCCCAGACAAAGGCTTGGCCGGCGGCCCCGGCCCGCTGCGCCCTCGGCTCCCCGCCTCCCGGGCTCGCGGCTCTTCGCCCCCGCTCTCGGCTCGGCGCGCCCCGGCCGGCCGCAAAGTTTCCCGGGCGGCAGCGGCGGCTGCGCCTCGCGTCAGCGATGGCCTCGGAGCTGAGCATGGGGCCCGAGCTGCCCACCAGCCCCCTGGCCATGGAGTACGTCAACGACTTCGACCTGCTCAAGTTCGACGTAAAGAAGGAGCCGCTGGGGCGCGCGGAGCGCCCGGGCCGGCCCTGCACGCGCCTGCAGCCAGCCGGCTCGGTGTCATCCACACCACTCAGCACGCCGTGTAGCTCGGTGCCCTCGTCGCCCAGCTTCAGCCCGACCGAACAGAAGACTCACCTCGAGGACCTGTACTGGATGGCGAGCAACTACCAGCAGATGAACCCCGAGGCGCTCAACCTGACGCCTGAGGATGCGGTGGAGGCGCTCATCGGCTCGCACCCGGTGCCACAGCCGTTGCAGAGCTTCGACGGCTTCCGCGGCGCGCACCACCATCACCACCACCACCACCCACACCCGCACCACGCATACCCGGGCGCCGGCGTGCCCCACGACGAGCTGGGCCCGCACGCGCACCCGCACCACCACCACCATCACCAAGCGTCGCCGCCGCCGTCCAGCGCAGCCAGCCCAGCGCAGCAGCTGCCCACCAGCCACCCCGGGCCCGGGCCGCACGCGGCCGCCGCGGCGACGGCGGCTGGTGGTAGCGGCAGCGTGGAGGACCGCTTCTCCGACGACCAGCTTGTGTCCATGTCCGTGCGCGAGCTGAACCGCCACCTGCGGGGCTTCACCAAGGACGAGGTGATCCGCCTGAAGCAGAAGCGGCGGACCCTGAAGAACCGGGGCTACGCCCAGTCGTGCAGGTATAAACGCGTCCAGCAGAAACACCACCTGGAGAACGAGAAGACGCAGCTCATTCAGCAGGTGGAGCAGCTTAAGCAGGAGGTGTCCCGGCTGGCCCGCGAAAGAGACGCCTACAAGGTCAAGTGCGAGAAACTCGCCAACTCCGGCTTCAGGGAGGCGGGCTCCACCAGCGACAGCCCCTCCTCTCCCGAGTTCTTTCTGTGAGTCGTGGCCGGTCCTGGCCCCCGCCCTATGCCCCGGGCCCGGACTCCCCGTCCCCGTGTCCCCCGCCCCGGACTCCCCCCGGACCCTGTCCCTGCCACGGCCCCAGCCTTGACCTGTTTGACTTGAGGGAGAGGGAGGAAGGGCGCGCGGGACGCGGGCGACGGGAGGGCGCGCGGGCAGGCAGGGGACCTTGGCCAAGAGGAGAGCGGCGCGCGCCAGCGCCGCCTCCTAGACTCGAGCAGAGCCAGAGCCAGACGAGGGGGTGGGAAGTCCCGGAGCAACTTTCCTCCAGGCTGGAGGGCGGCGAGGCATAGTCCCGAGGAGTCGCCAAGGCCGTCTGGAGACTCCTGGCTTTCTGAACTTTGCGCGTTAAGCCGGGGCCGCTGCGTCGCGGCCCGGAGCGCAGTCCAACCCAGGAAGAGAGCAGCGAGGAGAGGAGAGGGACCCTGGCGTCCGGCAGGCGCGAGGCGAGGCTGAGCGAAGGAAGGAAGGAAGGACAGACGGACCTGTCTGTCCAGGGTCCGGAGAACACTGGCTCTCAGCCCCGAGACGCGGGCCTCAGTTAGGACGTTCTGCGCGCAATTCTCATCAGTTTTATTGCCTGCTCCATTATATAGAAAAAATACGAAAATCTGCATTAAAAATATTAATCCTGCATGCTGGACATGTATGGTAATAATTTCTATTTTGTACCATTTTCTTGTTTAACTTTTAGCATGTTGTTGATCATGGATCATAACCCCCTTGTTTCTTTGAGTGAGAAGGGATGGCAGTTCAGAAACTCCGGCGGCTGCTTGCCGGGGTTCAGTCCCGGCTGTCGGCTTGTAAATACCGCCCCGCCAAACAGCTTAGAGAACGTGGCAGCAAGCTGAGTGTCTTCGTTTGGGTTTATGATTATGGCATTATTTTTTGTAAGTAAAAAAAAAAAATAGTTCTGGGCATTTTGCATCAGAAAACAACTTTGTCTTGGGGCACCCTTGGAAGTTGCATGTTTTCTCCCCTCTCCCCGTCTTCATTCGGTCCTCTTGTCCCTTCCGCTTCAGTTTTCAGTTTTGTGGGTGTCGACAGAAAGAGGACCCGGGTCCCAGTTCCTGAATATCAGGAGAGGGTAGCTGCCCAGTTCTGAACCCGGGAGGAGCACGGCCCAGGAATGTCTTCACTCCTACCTTGCTAATTCGGGTGTCCCAAACTGACACCCTTAACAAGAACGGAAAGGAAAACACATCTTATGTGCTTTTTAATGCAGTCGGAATCACCCCAGGGTCCCTTCACAGCCCTCCAGGTCCATCCACACTAATTGCTGTGGCTGCGGTGCTCTTAGGGTGAGTAGCTTCACCAGCCCGGACACCCAATGGTGCCCAATGGTGACCCAAACGTGTGCTGAACCTACCACCACATTCAGAAAGTACCAGAAACCCAACCATTGGCAAGTAATTTTGCAACTTTCAAGCGCGTCCTTTAGACCAACATGTTCTGTGTGTTTCTTTCCCTGCTTTTGAGCTAGCAGGTGAGTTCCCCCCCCCACCCCCTTCAGTTGTATAGTAGTTATAGGGAAAATCTGGGTGTTTTTCTTTATTACCTTTTTTTTCCTGCAGGTCAGTAAAAGGATTTAAGTTGCACTGACAAAAATACCAAAACGAAAGCGTATTTTTTAGTTCCCATTTGAGATTGCTGGCGCTGCTGGCCGGATGCATTTTTGAGTTTGTATTAGTTGATAAATTAACAGTAATAACAAGATTGTATGAACCGCATGGTGCTTGCAGTTTTAAATATTGTGGATATTCGTCCTGCATCAGAAACGAGCTTCGGTTTTTACGGATTCAACTGTGTTGAAATCAAATTTGCTGCAACAGAAATTTGTTTTTATTTCATGTAAAATAAGGGATCAATTTCAAACCCTGCTTATGATATGAAAATATTAAAACCTAGTCTATTGTAGTTTTATTCAGACTGGTTTCTGTTTTTTGGTTATTAAAATGGTTTCCTATTTTGCTTATTAAACCCATGGAAATGGTGTTTATTTAGAGGATTCTGCGTGCGCCTGACTTTGACTTTCTTCTCTTGCCTTTTTAAGAGTCGAATCACTTTGGGGACACTCACCCTCCCTGGCCAATGGAGAAACAGACCAGGTCTGGGCAACTCTCTCCCTTGCTTGTGAGTGTGTATGTACATGAGTCCCAAATATGTTCCTGCTTCTCACTCTAGGTAGAGACCTCATTTGGGAGCGGGTTTGTGAGCTGAGAGGGGACACGTTTTGGGGAGGCTTTCAGGCTTGAGGATCAGGACTGGCCTGCTAGCCTGCGGGCTCTGAGGTACAGATCGGCCGATCCCAAGAAGCCCAGAAGCCGGAGCTTCCTGATGGGGAAACAGGGGTCTTTTTGGCAATCAGGCTCAGTTGGCCCTGCCACTCTGGCCTTCCTCCCTGGGCTGCAAGGCTCTCAACTTTCTCCTGCCCAGCGTATCTCGCTGCCCAGAGTGAGAACGCCTGCCTGCCCTGAGTGGAGGCCTGTGCCTCCTTCCCCAGGACTTGGAGAAGCAGGTGGAACCCAGCACCAGGGCTTTCAGGGTAAGGCTCTTCAGACAGGAAGCCCTTCCTGCGGACCTATTTCCTGGGGGGTGGTGTGCCCTGGGCACACATGCCACTCAGGCCTGGAGCCCTCAGACCCACAGAAGGGCACTGCATGTCCTGACCAGGATTTCAGTGACTTGCCAAACTGGGAGGTAGAGGGGGCTTGGGGCATCATTCTGGTGTAGCCACCCTGCAAACTGGACATCCTTGACTGGGAGGTGGGCCCAGACCTTCCCTTTTCCAGATGCTCAGAAGAGTCAAGATCTCCCGTCTAGGTTACCTAAAACCCCTCTCAGCCTTCTTGCAGTCCTGTCTATAATTCAGAGTTGGCCTCAGATATTTCTGAGAGTGGGAGTGGGATTACCCACCCCCTGCCCCCAAATCCAGAAAGCTTCTCTGCTCCTTTGGCAGTGGCTGGGTCCAACGGGCTTCTGGTATCTTCAGACCCAATATCTATAGTCCAAGAGACTCAGCCTTCCAGCCCTGGGGTTCTGTGGCCCAGAGTTCCTAACATGGAACTTCAGGACCTGAATGGGGAGAGGCCAGAAACCCCAGCAGCAGATCTTGGAACTAGAGCTGGGAAGAGCCAGGGAGAAGGAAGGGAAGGCTGAAACTAGCAGGGAATAGATTTTGGCCTGGGATTCCCGGAATCCTGGGCGTGGTGGTCCCGGTCTGGTAAGGACAGACCAGGGGAAAAAAATCCGGAAAGTAAGGATGCAAATACTACCGGCAGTGATATCCATTTAATAGCGTTTTGGTGTTGTTTAGTAGAATTCTAGCTTGAATTAAGTTCCAAGGCCCAGGTCATTTCACCAAGCCAAAGATACGCCTGGCACAGAAGGCTTTGGCTGAGGCTGGGGAGAGGGATGGTGGCCGCGTCTGCCTGTGAAGTCGCTCTACCTGAGTGCACATGGATGAAGGAGCAAGGGGGTGTGATTAGTTGGGTAATTGTGTGTTCAAGGGCACGTCCACAAATCTGATAAGAGCACGGCCAAATGTACAAGTGTATCCCCTGTGGGGCGAAAGCGGTTTTGGCCAGGCTGAGAGCTTGAAGAAACCCCGCTGTACGAACCTGGAGACCAGGGGGGATCACCTGGGTTCCATTTGGCGGAGGTTTGACTCCCCTTGGAATAATCCCGAACGGACTGGCTTCTTCCACTTCTAGAGCCACCTGGACTCTGCTTGAAAAAGCCTCTGGGCTGGGGAGGGTCACAGACTCCAAGGCGTTGGTTTCCCTTCCCCAGAGCACGGAAACACAGACACCAACCCAGTGAGCGACCAGCATCTAGAATGACATGGTGGGTCAGGCAGTTTCAGAGTGACCAATTGCATCTCTGAGAAGCCTACAACCACACCTCGCAGTCCTACACACACACACACACACACACACACACACACACACACAGCACCCACACCGACGCCCTCGCGGGCGGGCGCGGTCAGTCCCAGCACCCACCCGCTGTTTGGGCACCAATCGGCCCCGGGACGCACGCGGGCGAGAGCCGGGCAGAGCGGGCGGCGCACCGGAGGGGGCCGGGACCTCGAGAGACTCCGGGGCGGGCAGGCCCTGGCCGTGTCTCAGCCCGCAGCCCGCCGTCCCGACCCGCCACCACGCCGCGGAGCCGGCGCCGGCGAGCGCAGGAAGAGCGAACTGGGTCCCGAGGCCCTCCGGCCCGGCCCGGCCCGGCCCCGCGGCTCCTCTTCTGTTCCCGCCGCTGCGCCCTGCTCGCGGGGTCCTCGCGCTCCTCCACGACCCCGGGGGCCACATCTCCCTGCGCCGGGACTCGTCCCTGCCCGCACTGGTCCCACGTAGACAGGCTGGCGCCTGCAGCCGGGGACGCACGCCGAGTGAGACGCACACGGCCCCGGGACGGTGGCTCGCTCCGGGCCGAATCCCTGGCTGGGGCGGCCCCCGTCGGGTCGCGGGAGCGAAGCCCCCACGACCCCCTCCCCCGGGTGGCACAAAAGTGCGGGAGGCCGTGCGGGCGGGATCGGCCGCCGCCACCTTCCGCGAGGGGTCGGGTTGGCGCTCGGCGCGGCGGACCTGCAGCCTGGGGTCCCGGCCCGCGCGCAGGGGTGGCGGCTGCAGCCCCGCTCGGTGGGGTCTCCCGCGGCCCTACTCTTTGCCATTTCCCTTTCCTTCAGCCCTTCCTTGGCGAACTCTTCACTGCAGAAAACTTTCTCCCTGCGTTTTGGCCCCACGTCCCTTCTGCCTTCAGACTCCGCCAGGCGAGGAAGGGCTAAGGCAGCCGGGGCCGCGGTGTCCGGTAAGTGCGGGCAGCGGCGGCGAGGGGGTGGAGTCGGGCTCCGGGGTTCCCGAGCCTCCGTGGGGCACCGGGCCAAGCCAGTGGCTCTGGGCTCTCCCGCCTGGACGGCTTCTGCTCCCCAGCCTTCCCTCGCGTCGTCCGCCCGCAGCCCGGCTGGTGGGGATCGACCTCTTGCAGGATCCCCGCCGGCCAAGCCGGGCCCTCCGTGGCAGAAGCCGGCACAGCTGGGGCTGGGCCCTAGACCCACATCCCTCTATTGGTCCCAGCCCGCCTTCCTTAGATCCAGGGTCTCTGGGCACTGTTGTGGCAGGGCCATCCCAGTCCCAGGCAGAGGTGCCCACCTCCATGCCACCCACTCTCCTGGGGCACCTGTCCTCTTAGGCCTAGCGTGGGCGTGCCAGGAACCACGCCAGTGTGGTCATTTATTGGGCTTTTCTGTGACTAGAGTCACAGCTTTTGCCATGCCAGGCAAACCCTCCACTCCCTCTGCCACCCACCCCTACTCAAGCTCGGTCTCGGTAGGGCCCTGGAAACAGCTGGCTTGGGAGATTCCAGCGGGGCCCTTGCAGACTTGCAGATGCAAACCCCGCTTCGTTGCCGCTCTGTTTTCAGAAAGGAAAACCCAGAAGTGGCTTCTTGCGTAACCCTTCCCTGTACAGCCTGCTGTCTGCTGGCCTGGCCTTCCATCCCAGAGATAGCAGTGTTTGGATTTGTTATGTAAGGAAGGGAGGATTAGAGGTTTACTCTGCTCCTCCTCCCCCCACCAAAATAAAAGTCCTCAAAAGGCGCCTTTTGCAGACACCGTCTTTTCCAACAGCAGCCCTCCTAGAAGAAGTCAGTCTGGTTCCTAGAGCTGCTCCCAAGCTTGGGCCCAGCGCAATCCTCTGAGGAGACTTGCCAGCTTGCAGCGAAGGGAGAGTCCCTGATCCAGGGTGGACCGGCTTGTCGGAGGAAGTCACCATAAGGCTTCCCAGGCTGGCGCTTACCTGGCTCAGAGGACTAGCTTTCTGTTTGAGAAGGCTGCTGCTAGAATTTTGCCCCTTCTTCTGTGTCTGCTCCTAGGAGCAGGCATCCAGACCACGGAGAGCATTCCTGTCAGCTGGGGAGCACACATTCTCTGTGCTTTGAACGCCTTCGCCGTGTTCCCCATGCATTTTCCACACCTTACGTCTCTCCAGCATCTAAAGTCCCCTTTTCCATCGTGCGACACAAATTACCTTAAAAGATGAATTTAGATAAGAAGATCGGAGCTGACTGTTCTCACCTGCAAGAAATTAAATGTATGAGATAAGTTGCTGCTCCAATTTGGAAAACCACCTAAATTATTAATAAGGGTTTGTTCCGAGGCAAAATTCAGAATGCCTTTCTGCATTCTTTGCCTGTGAAGTTATTTTCCTGTAAAGTAGCAGCCGCTTGTTACACAGTCCTTTTTATTTGTATCAAAAAAGGGGATCCTGTCCTCAGGCTGGAGGGGCAGCCGCAGAAGCAATGGGAGGAGGCCTGATACTTTCTGGAAGAAGCCAGTTTTGGCGTGAGAAAGGGGCAGAAGCCCACAAATTCAAAACTTCTATCGCCCGTGCCTTCCCTGTGGGGCTCTGTGCGTTTTACAGGGGCTTACACTTCTTTCAGTAAACAGGCAGGGGGGTGGGAAGCTTAGGGGTGCTCATTTCAGAGCTGGAGAGAGCAAGGCAGGCATTGAGCCTGGCCTGTGACTCCATCGGGAATCAGGAGCTCACTCTCAAGTCCCCTTGTTTCTCCTCGTGTCACTTTCACTGCCTTGACCCTGCCAGGGTTACGTGCACCTGTTTCCTACTCAGGAGAGGCCCTGGGCTTGGATTGGTCTTGGGGACTCAGCTCTGCTTTCCCTGAGTGGGCCGCCCTCAGGGCATTGCATCTCCCAATGCAAGGCTTGGCATTGGCCCTCCTTGGTGTCCTGGGAACTGGAGCCCGGTACACATGTCCCTTTGCACGGACAAGGGGCAGCGAGTTCACGAGGTCATGGGGCACAAGAGGCGTGGCCAGATCATGAGGTTAGTCCTGTTAAAATGGTTCACTTAATTCTCTGAAGTGTGGGCTACTATTGTCCATGAAGACGGAGAAGTAGGCCGAGACCAGGCACCTCTTGCCCAGCAGAAGATGGAAAACTTGAGTCCCCCCACCCCATACCAAAATTTGTATTTTTGGCATCAGATTCCACAAGTTCACATCCCTTATCTGAAACACCTGAGGGGGGTGGTGGTGGTGAAGAGCGTGGGGGAAAATATGGAGGGGTGGCAAATAGCCCTTGTGGAGGAGAGTTTCCTTTCTAATTCCCTTTGCACAGGGTAGTCTCTTTCCTGGGGGTATAATTACCATTTTCCACCCACAAGTCTCCCTGCCCGGACACACAGATGGACGATGGGCTCCTGGAGATACAGCAGGACAAACATAAGGGGATCAGAGGGAAACTACAGCATCAGTCTCTCACGGAGAAGCCAGCAGCTTATGGTGGTCCTGGGGTGTGCGTGTGTGTGTGCGTGTGTGTGCGTGTGTGTGTGTGTGGTGGGGCCCACTTGGGCATTGCTAGCTTGGGACATTGATGCTTTTCATAATCAACAGACCCCTCACCTTTCATCTGTTCTCAGTTGAACTTTCCAGCAAATGGATCATAATTAGCAGAGCAAGTGTCTATAAAAGCAGCAGCCTCTAGGTGAGGCAGTTTTGATGGAATCATCCTTAGTTTAACCAAAGCTGTTTCTGGTGCAGTATGGAAACTTCGAACCTTCACACAGATGTGCTTACACTCTTAAGGCAGGCACGCGCATAAACACGTATGCAGCTCGCTCTTAAATTCACAGAGGCAGGCAAGCATGTATGTGCACACGCTTAAATCCCCATGCGCTTATCTGCTGTATCTGCACTCTCACACCGTGTGCACGAAAGGCACACGATTGTGCATATACCTGTATGGATTTATGCTTGCACTGAAAGCCAAGGATTACATACGTGTAAACACCCTGACAAAATGCATTTGGGTCCATGATCATCTTTACATGTTCTCATCCACAGACATACGTGCTTTGTGTATCGGGCACTGGCCTTCACACCGCCCCCCGCCCCCCAAGCACCGTGTAACAAGTGAAATGTGGCAGTGGCGGGGTTAATGGAGGCCCAGACTCCCATAAATATTTATATGAAGCACTCGAGATCTGGAAGCAAGAGAGGAAAGCTCTGGAAGCAAGAGAGGAAAGCTCGCCCCACAAGCCCCTGTCAATCATGTACTGCTGCATGTTACCTGTCACAGCCAAGCCATACGATATGATTGTACAATGACCACCGTGAGGGTCACTTTTATGCTGGTGCACACGGCCCACTCCGTGCCTGGCCAGGCAGCCCAGCAGATGTGCCAGGTTGGTCGCCACTCCTAGGATTCTCCTGCATGCTTCAAAAGGAAGCCTTTCAACATTGCTGTTGCAGGTGCAGAGTTGAAGGCGGAGCAAAAGCTTCTTGAATATCTGAGACTTGGCTTCTCCAGTGAAGACAGAAGCTATCCTGGCAAGACGGCCTGTGGGGGGCGGCTTGTGAACAGGTGGGTGAGAGAGAGAGGTGGGGCTCCTGGGCTGATCCGATCCAGCTTTGCTATGGCAGGGGCTCCAGCTTCTGGAGCTGCTCTGGCCCACCAAAACTTTGGGTCCCAAAGGAACCTACTGTCCCAGTTCTCCACAACTGCTACAATCCTGCGTTCAGCGAATAATCTGCTTCCGGGCCTGCCACCTAAGACTATCCATTCAATCGCTGAACAAACATTTGTTGTGTGTCTTCCATATGCCAGGCATTGTGCTAGGTGTTGGCAATACAACAATGAACAAAACCAGAAATAACCCCAGCAAACAATCCTCGTGGAGTTTACAGTCTAGCAGGAAAGAGAGAGCGTGCGAGCAGTTAGATGTAACAGGAATCGGTGTAGAGTTTCAAAAGGAGAAAGCAACCCGGATCTCTGAGAGCATCTGTACTGAAGTGAAGCTGACCTAGCCTGGGGAGAGTGATCAGGGAGGGCTTCCTGGAGGGGGTGATATTCGAGCTAGGATATGAAGCCTGGATAAGCATTATCCAAGTCGGATGGGTAAGGGAAGAACATTTTAGGTCTAAATTTCTTTCTGGAATGGGAAATTTCTTTCTCCTTGCTCAGGACATGTGCTTGGTACTCCCTCTGCCTGCACCGTCTTATTTCAGAGAGAGCTGTGGCCAGCTCCCTCACCCCCTTCACTTCCTTGCTCAGATCTGTCTCCCCTTCCTGATGAGGTTTATCCTGACCACCCTACCTGGTCTGGCAACCTGCTCCCTCCCGCCTCCCTGGGCGCTCTGGACCTGCCTTATTCTGCTCTACTGACCCTTTTCTTCTCACCCCTCCCCACCTAATGCTAATCACCTTGGAACACTGGATTATTTACTCATCTAGGGCTTATTTTCTGCTTTTTCCTGCCAGCACATAAGCCCTGTGAGGTCAAAGTCTGATGACTTTTGTTCACCCATGTCCCTAAGCACTATGAGTGGTGCCTGGCACTCAGTAAGACCCCAATAACCCAGTAATTGGTTGAATGAATATGTGTTGAATAAAATGTACTTAAAAAGGAAAGGGGTAATGTCTGTGAAAGCATGGCTTTGAGGTCCTAGCTATCTCTCATCTATCTATCTATCTATCTATCTATCTATCATGTATCAGTATCTAGTTTTTTGATACTCCTTGAAATACATACTGCTAATTAAAAAAACAACAACAACATTGTTTGTGTATCATCCACTAAAATCTTGCATCCCTCAGTGGTACCCTTTGGGACACATTCTGGTATCTGTGTGTGAGGAGAGAGGCTGACATCTGATATGAGAGGCAGGTCAGGGAGCACTGGGCGTTGGGGGGGGCACAGGAGGGAGGGAAGGCTGGGAGGGGGGGCAGAATGGAACTCAGTCTGGTTGTTCCCTCTAGATTCTTGGTGGGTCTTGGAAGAGAAAAAGGCAGGGGT